GGTGATTATTTTTGGAAATTCTTCAAAACGTGATTGTGGCCAACAATCAAGGTGAATTTGAAAATCCAGTTATTTTCCAACAAGATGGTGTGCTATCATATTTTTAGGCCTGTAAGGGATTGGTTGTCATGCGCAATAGTAGGCGCGGTTCATTGGAACGGCCTTCTCGTTCACCGGATTTGAGTCGTCTCAATTTTTCCTTTAGTGCTATTTTGATTCGAACTTGTGCCAGCATTACCCCAGAAACATTCGAAAATGTTGGAAATATCACAAGATTTCCCTTTCTATTTAAAAAAAAAGTGATATCACCCTGTCGCACCCCATAAAAAAGTGCAACCTGTTAAGTTCTTCTCAACATGGATATATGAAAGAAAAATCAGTAGAAACGGCAATAATTCAGTTATTTATTGGCAAAACTAGATATATATGGAATTAGAGGAAATATCTGGAAGTGGTTTGAATCACATTTGTCAAACCGTCTGCAAAAAACTAAAATCATAAAACACGGAAAAATATTCAAATCAGAAGCACGAGAAAATACCGTGGGCATTCCACAGGGAGGTGTAACCGGTCCCATGCTTTTTATTATTTTCATGAATGATATCTTAGAAATCCTAAATAATGACAGTAAAACTTCTCAAATCACCAATTATGCTGATGGTGTCAAGTCACAACTTAATTCAATCTTAATCCAATCCAAACTTAATTATAGAGTCGAGTAACCTGTTAGATAGAGCAAACCACTGGTTCTCAAAAAACATCTCGATTCTTAAAGTTGAGAAAACAAATGTTATTTTATTTACAACGGCACAGCAAAAAATTGAAACACCAAGTACAATTAATCTGTCAAACAATGAACTTGCAGTTCAGAACTCAACAAAATTTCTTGGTATATATGTTAACGAACACTTGCATTAATATAAGCATACTACAAATCTGGGAAAAAATTTAATCAAATATGGTACAGTATCAGAGTTATTGGGTCCTACCTCAATGAAAAATCACTGAAAATGTTATATTCTGCGAATTTTGAATCTTTACTTAAAATTGGTATAATATTCTGGGGAAGCAGCAGTAATACCTCTGATATATTCCTTATCCAAAAGAACTATCAGGGTTATTTTCAAACTGAACTTTCGTCAGTCATGCCGGGGAATCTTCAAGACAAATAATATCTTGACAGTATATGCGATCTATATCTATAAGAGTGTAGTATACCTATTTAAAAATAAAAGTAAATTTTTGGACGCTATACCAAGTCATAATTATCCTAAGCGCAATATGAATATATTTTTCCCGACTCACAAATTGACAGTGTCAGAGAGGCATCTATCCTATGCGTCTATAAGATTTTTCAATAAATTACCACAGAGACTTAAAATGTTAGAGATCCTGAAAAAATTCAAAACCGGTGTTAAAGAGCTTTTGATCAAGTTAGAACCTCATTCACTCCAGGAATATCTGGATAAGTTATAAACCTAATATGTGGAAATTATGTGACGTTGTTTCATTTTATGTTTGATGTTTTCTTTATGGAATGTAGAGCATTCTGTGAAATATATATTAATATTATTATTATTTCTTGCTGTTAGAAAGCTATTTTTATCATGCTTGGTGCTGAATACATCAGCAACCATTAGCATCGAATTTCTGAAAGACCAATGTGTCCATAAGACCTACTATACTTTCAGTGGCGATGAAAATATTTCAAATATGAAATTATTTACACTGCTACATTCACGTCACATCCGATCAATGATAATAATCAATGAATACCTAGCCATTTAGATTCAGGAAGTGACTTCACAGCTTTCGGACATATTTTCTCAACAATTATTGAAGGTTATTATTAAAATAGTTATTAGAAGTTCATTTCAAAAATTAATTTATTCGATTATACACTCACTCTGTAAAAGATATTGCGAAACATAAATTTCCGAATTTAAATATTATTTCAGGCATACTTTTCGCTTCCAGCTTCCTCTTATATAATCAAAAACCTACGCGAAACGTGATTTTCAAAACAAAAGCCGACAATTAAAATGAACAGTTTGACCTTGTCTAGAGAATCTTTACTGTGATCGATTGTTTTATAAGTAACATGGACAGGTGCCTGGTGATGCAGTTTGTACGGAATAGAATTAATTTACATTAGTTACCTGCGGTTTCAGTTTCTTGCATATCAAGATGCCTGTGAGCCCACGCAGTGTCAGTTTCATACAATCCACCAAGATAATGCAAAACTATTGACTCTTCTTCTTCTCTTTTTTTTATGGTATTTGCTTCCCTTTGCATAAAGGATGTTATGCAATAGTCGCTTCGTCCGTATATTGTTGTGAATTGAAGTTTTGTTGCGTAATTGAAAATTTTGGCTTTAGTATCTGTGTTCTATCTTCACTTGCTGGTAGGTATTCACCGGACAAAGAATACATACAAAGGTTGTGATATTAGGATTGAAACTAATAAATTTGGGATAAGGAGAGGATGTACTCCCCGCTATTATAATTTAATATGGTTATACTTCATGAATTTATAATTTTTATTATGCTAATATTTAAACTTCCCAGGACTGTAGACATGTTCAGAGAACTTATGATGCACTGTTTGGAACCTTTGGTGTAGTAATGAATATTACTGGAGTTTCACCCCAACACCAAATCGTTATTTTTAACACCTCGACACGTGTTTCGATCACCAAGTGATTATCTTCAAAGAGGAAGATTAAAATTCCCCTTTTAATTTTCAATGATCGTTATTTTTAACACCTCGACACGTGTTTCGATCACCAAGTGATTATCTTCAAAGAGGAAGATTAAAATCCCTCTTTTAATTTTCAATGATCACTTGGTGATCGAAACACGTGTCGAGGTGTTAAAAATAACGATTTGGTGTTGGGAAAAAACTCCAGTAATATTTATGTTCAGAGAAGCTGTTATTCCTTTCTGTATGAATTGATTATACCTACAGTGCATTTCTTTAATGCCCTCCCCTTTTATTTTTTGAACAGATCAGCTCAAAAAATTGAAATTTGGGATAATGAAATTAATGCATGAATACTTTATTTCGAAGTGAAATTGACAGATGAAACTTCCAAGATGGCGACTGGTCGCCATCTGGGAAAAAAAATTAAATGGAAAAGGGGTCTTGTGACAATCATTTTGAAGCGACGAATACTTCTCACTGGCCATTCTAACGGACCTCGACAGTCAATCCAACGACCGGGACAAGTAGTATCCAAATAGTTTCTTACTTGTCTTGAATAATGTTGGTGCTTCATCTTGTTGTAATACAATATCCATATCGAATTCATTAGGATTCGCTTCGACGATTTCAGTGATGAGAGGGTCAATAGTAGTTTCCAGCATATTCAAATACAGTTCTCCTGTTAAATTTTTGTGGATATTGGGTATATGTTTCCCGGAAAACTTGAGGGTTGGTGTCACTCCAATAAAGGTAATTTTGTCTGTGAACATTGCCGTTTAAAAAAAATGTACATTCGTCACTAAAACAAATATTGTGGAGATAAGTAGGATGCCTTGCAATAGTTTCCGTCATGATTTCGCAGAATTCTGTTCTTCATCTTCAGTTAATTGGTGTACCATTTTAATTTTGTATGGATGATACCTATTCCTCTTCAAAAGTTCAGGATCTACTACTATTTCACCAATCACCTGCAGTTCTTCGGGAATGGATGGATTGACCTGGGGGCTTTTTGTTATGGACATTACCGGTAGTTGTGAATTTGGATACAAGTTCCCTCAAATATTTTCCACAGATAGGACGATTCGGAAAACGTTCATTGAAAATCCTTTCGGTCTCGTGAAAGTTAAGCGTCGCACCGTAAATAAAAATCGCTTAAATTTTTTCTTCTAATGGACGCGGATTGACCATTTTAGAGATTGTTGACGTGGTACCTTTCTACTAGTAAAACCGAAAACTAAATGAGAATATTCTAACTGAACAATGATGTTCATTGTCCTAGTCAATTTTTTTCGTTTTTATAAAGAAAAAAATAACTTAACAAACTTTACATTGGGTTGTTGGAATTGCCATATGGCAGATAAAAAGGAATATTTCTATAAATATCGATATTAATGTGTTTGTCTTCAGGAAATTATTAAATGTTCCGCCAGTCGCCAACTTGAAAGTCTCATCTGTCAATTTTACTTCAAAATAAAGTATTCATACATTAATTTCATTATCCCAAATTTCAATTTTTTGAGTTGATCTGTTCAAAAAATAAAAGGGGGGGGGGCATTAAAGAAATGCACTGTAGGTATAATCAATTCATACAGAAAGGAATAACAGCTTCTCTGAACAGTGGACCAAGTCTGGTGAATATGGTGGCTGAGGCATGATTAAGGTGTTGTTTTTGGCCAAAAAATTACGAACAAGTAATGACGAGTGAGCAGGTGCATTATAGTGATGCGAAAGCCATGAATTGTTTTTTCACAAACCGGATGTTTTCTTCGTATTGCTTTTCGCAAGCGGCGCATAACTTCAACATAATACTCCTTATTGACAATCTTGGCAATCGGAAAAAAACATACAAAACTTTGACATTTGATCGAACTTGGCGAGCTTTTTTTGGTATTGGGTCTCCTGGGATCTTCCATTGAGACGACTGGCGCTGTTTAGTAGAACTTCAGTAAAACTTCATTGCCACACGCTCATGTCCAAAATTTCCGAAAAAATTGCTTGGCATGAACCAACCGATATGCCGACATCCTCAGCAACTTCTCTCTAAGTGATTCGACGATTCTCCGTAACAATGTTTTTCACTTCCTCGAAATGTTTATCGGTTGTTGATATGCTGGAGCGTCCAGGGCGTCGTCATTCACATCTTCTCGACCTTCCGTGAAAAGCTTGTACCACTTGTAAACTCAGTTCTGACTCAGGGTACAATCACCGTATGCCACTGTCAAGTTTTTAACATTACCTTATTTTTTTAACAAACCTCGTATTATGATGTAGTCGAGAGCAAAAAAATAACTACTTACGGCTTTCATCTGGAGATTCCATAGAGTCGCCGTTGAGGTGCATTTTTGAAGTTATTCAAAGTCAATCCGGAAGTCTCCAGTTTATCATCGCAGAGGAAGCCTGCAAACAAAGACTGACATTCAATTACATCCTTCATCTAAAACAACGGATAAAACAAATAGTCACGCGGTTTGATATTAATTAAAAATGACCACGCTGCAATTTGCAGCAAATATAACGGCATTTAAATTTGTGGTACCCTCCTCTCAAGCTTGCCACATAGTTTGATGGTATAAATGAATTATTGGGAAAAGAATCGAATTAATAACTGCGATATTTAGGTCATGTAAAATAATAAATCACTTACAACGGCACGGTGGCCTTTACTATCCCAAAAAGGACTTGGCAGCTTTCGACTTATTTTGATTGATAAGTATAGGTGTTGCTCTTGTCTGAGGTTTCAAGGAAATACCATCATTGAATATAAGAAAAAAATTGATGAAAGTAGCCGTCGATGTATTCGGAAACTATCATATAATGGCTATAGTAATTTTACGTTATACCGGTAATTGCAGATAAGTAATAGGATTCCGTGTTAGGAATCACACGTTAAAGGGTAAGACCTTGTTAGTCTTTAGCTCTCACAAGTTTCTCAACTTCTGAGAGTTGTCGTTCGTATGAGGGCGACAGCTGATTAACGGAAAAACAGATTTTAAACAGACAGATTCCTAAAATCTTATTCAACACGAGTGTCCTTTTTTTTCCAAAATGTCGATTATAAACAAATAGAAACCATTTTTTTTATTAACATAAAACTTCAGGTTTCCAACTTTAAAACTTTTGAAATTCAATAAAATCTTTGAACCCCTATTTTTTCCCCTTGAGGGTGGAAATTCCTGATTCCCCTTCTTGATGCTTATTTTCGCTATACAAAGAACCTACCTGCATATTTCAAGATTCTAGGTTCAGTAGCTTTGGCTGTACGGCAACAGCTAGTAATTTTAAAAATACAGTAACTGAAAAAATATGCCAACTGCACTGAGTAATGGATAGCTTCGAGATTTGAATTATGTTACATATGAAGAAATTCGCAGAACTAACACAGCCGTCAACGATGTCTGCCCTCACGCGTCTGCTTGCGTTCGGGTCGCGTTCTCGGCGATGGCGCTTCATTGCTTAGACTACTCCTCTACCCCCGCGCGTCGTCCCCCATCGTCTTACAGTAGACGCGACGCGTAATGGCTTACTGCGTTGCGCCAACTTAATCTTATCGTGATAACTTTCAAACGATTCGTCCTATTTACTTAGTGTAAAAGACAAAGTGTATCTATATTAAATACTTGAAACGACAATTATATCAATTTTTATTAGAATTCGACAGATATTCTGAAATGTGCACTGTAAAAAAGTATCCATTTTAATGATATTGATGGCTCAGTATTTTGCATGTAGTGGCTACCACATAAGAGGTAGATATTTGCTATCGCGGACTTTTATTTAGAACTATTCAAGATAAACAATCTTTCGGTACATTATCTGCGTGTAACTCTAACGGTATAGGCAGCGCACGCCAATATAGCTCTCAGGGAGCAAGAATTTTTTCGATTCACTTAATGCTTATCATTATATTATGACCAAAATTACATAGAAGCTGTATTTATGTTAAGTTTCATCTAAATCCGTTCAGTCGTTTGGGCGTGAACGAGCCTCAAATATACATCCATCCTCACAAACTTTCACGTTTATATTAGTATAGATATAGATGCATGCTATGGCATTTTCAGTTAGGTTATTTTGTCAAATTTACGCCAAAGAAATTTATGTTGTTAACATATTTGATGGGGCTGTTAAAAAAATTATTAGAAGTGTTTTTTTTGTTTTTGTTGGTGCGAAGTGTAGGTCACTTTCAAGTAGCCGTTGCATATTATTGCATATTATTCAGGTCAGCTTTCAATGTTGTTTACTTTCGACCTTTTGTATATGTGACAAGCATTTATCAAGTATGCTATTGGTCGCTACTAAAAATGAGGTAACAATCACGAAGGACCCATGTAGTATAACATTTTTTTAGATTTTTGAGCTTGGTAGGTGTCCATCTTTGTTGACTTCTTAGAGAATTTCAAATAAAATGAACATGAATTTCAAATAAAAATATAGTCTCTTAGATAACGTTCCGTGAATTGCAATTGCTTCCTTTCTTAAATGCTCGAAAAAATCACTTGAAATTTGTATTTAAACGTGTTGAAATGTCAACATCATTAGCAGTAAAATTTCTAGTCAAATTCAGTGATTTTGAAGACAATTTTTACAACTGCATCAAAACAATGTGTCTGATATAGCAATTCAGGAATGTACTTAATTCAACGGTTATTCATTCTGGATGTAGTACCGAACCGCGTCTGTAGTTTTCATTGGTTCGACGTTTCGGCTTTCCCTTTGAAGCCATTATCAAAAATCAATTGACATTGAAGTTACATGATTTGACGCCGAGGTCGTAATCAACCTGACCCTCAAGTCACGTAACTGGCTTTCTTCTTACTTTGTTCAGTTCCAAGAGAACACTGTGTACAGATATTTGACATGTATCACCGAACTACTACATGGACTGAAAAGTCTTGGGCTTAACACATAGATGGCGCTAGTCTCATTGCATTCACCGATTTTTCAGTTAGTACTAACCTTCACCAGGGGCTGCCCTCAAGGTGGGGTACTATCTCCCCTTCTGTGGTCGCTTCTGATGTATAGTCTGCTTGATGCCCTCGACAAAAGAGAAGTTGATCTGCAAACTTATGCAGATGACCTTGTCATCCTGGCAAGGTCCACGTCGGGAAGGGAAGCTTGTAATATCCTCCAAAGCGCGTTGGACGTTGTTCACAGTTGGTGCCTGAGGGAGCAGATGTCTGTCAACCCCAGCAAAACTGTGTTAATCCCCTTCACAGATGAGAAAATTAGACGATCTAACGCCACTTTCCCTCAATGGTGTGGTCATTCCATTTGGAACGGAGGTGAAATATCTTTGTGAAAAAACTGAGGGGTTTAGGTCCCAAACATATCCACTGGATTTGTGTGATGATTGTCAGACCAATGATCACTTATGGTGCAATTGTCTGGTGGCCAAAAGCTTCACAGAAAACGGACCAAGCGAAGCTCTCTTTCTTACAGAGACAGGCTTGTCTGGCTATCAGTGGTGCCATCAGTACCACACCATCAGCGGCCATGGAGATCCTTCTAGATCTACCTCCTCTCCACATTTTTCTGGAAAGAGAGGCTAGAAGGACTGCATACAGACTTGTGCACATTGCCAATTGCACAAATCAATTTAATGCAGAGTGCAACATACTGTTGGTTGACAGTGGAAGTCACAGCATTCTGGAAATGACCTCTGACTTTATGCCTCCAACTGTCAACTACGAACTGCCTTATAAAGTACCATTCCCGAGTAGAGAGGACTGGATCCTCCGGGAGAAGGAAATATTAAGAGCAGATAGTTGTTGGTTCATAGATGGATCAACAACACCTTCCGGTTCTGGTGCAGGTGTTTTTAGTTGCAGATCCAGGACAGAGATATTTACCTGCCTAGGAACTTATGCGACTATATTTCAATCGGAATTTTATGCTATTGAATTGTGTGCGGAGAGATAAATCCAACCTCACACACAAGTCAAAACGACTCTTCCCAATAGGAAGACTTAACTGATTGTCCCTGGTCTGGATTCCTTGGCCATACTGACCTGGAAGGCAACGAAGCTGCTGACTTCCTTGCAAAGGAGGGTGCTGCAAGTAGCTTCATCGGACCAGAACCTGTCATTGGCATTGCTTTAGGCTTTGCAAAGATGGCAAGAAAATGTATGGACTTCTGGCAGAATCTTCCAGGATTGGCTCACTCCAAGGCGTTTATTCACCCTTCGAAGCTTAATACCAAACAGTTGTTGGACTACAGTAGGGATGAACTACGATGTCTAACAGGCCTTCTTACAGGTAACTGTTATTTGAATCATGATATGCAGAGACTTGGACTGTCGGAAGACAGTGTGTGTCGCCTCTGTTTGGAAAATGATGAAACAGCAGATCATCAAAATCGTTTTGAATGATCGGAAAGTGAAGTTGCGAGAGTTAGCTGACATTGTAAAGATATCAAAATAACGTGTTGGATTTATATTGCATGAGCATTTGACTATGAGAACGCTCTGTTCAAAGTGGGTGCCGCTTTAGCCCCCTGTTGACAAAAAAAAACGTCTTGATGATTCTGAGCAGTAATTGGCCATGTTTGATCATAAAACACCTAAATTTTTGCAATGGATGAAACATGGATCCATCACTTAACTCCGGAATCAAAACGATATTCAGTTAAGTGAAGAGTAACTGGTGTACCTCGTCCAAAGCGCCCGAAAGCACAACAATCGGCTGGAAAGGTTACGGCCTCGGTATTTTAGGATGTGCGTGGTGTAATATTCATCGACTATCCTGAGAAGGGAAATACCATTCAGCAGTGAATATTATATAGCATCATTGGAGCGTTTGAATGCCGAAATTGTCGAAAAACGACCCCATTTAAAGAAAAAGAAAGTTCTGCTTCATCAAGACAATGCACAATGTCACAAATCACTGAAAACAACGGTAAAATTGCATTAAATGGGCTTGGAATTGCTTCTGCATATACCATATTCGCCAGATTTGACTCCCAGCGACTACTGGCTGTTCACAGGTCTCAAAAAAATGCTTACCGGTAAGAAATTTCACTCGAATGGAGAGGTTGTTGCTGGTACAGTTTGTCAAGAATAGGAAAAAGTTTTAAAATCTTAATTTGAGACAGCCTTAGCTGTGTGCAGAAGACAGGAGTGGAAACGCCCAGGGCCCAGTTAGTCGAATATATCTGTTGTGAAGTGAGCATCGCGGGTTTACCAAGTGTACAGTCCGAGCAAAAATAAAGCGTAAAGGGTACAATTTGAGTATTGTAACTTGACCAGGATGGAGTTTAAATCAAACCTAAATCGTAAAGTGCTGACAAGTCAAACGAGGGAAGTTATAGCCAATGTAATGTTTTTATGCAACGAGAAGCGGCAGAAAATAAACCTATACAGAAGTTTAAAACAGTTCAAGAAAGAACTGCTATGGCAAAT